AAAAAAAAAAGGAAGAAAGAAAAAAAAAAGAAAAAATTATTTAAAAAAATAAAAAAAGAATATAAAGAAGAAAAGTTTTTTAAAAATGAAATATACTTGTGATAAAGGGAAAATGGAAAATATGAATACCATAAAAACAGGGAAAATGTATTAAATAAAACATGCAAATCAAAATGAAAGAGTTGTAAATAACCTCCTAAGAAGTTTCACATTATTGTTGCTGATAAATATAAATAAAGGGTTAGAAATAACCACACATATTTACAGTAAAAGTGAGGTGTGATTTTTTTTTTTAACATAGAGAAAAATACAGCTCTTGGAAAATTACATAAGACTTACCCTGCTTTTAGTATTTCAACTAGTTTAAAACTGGTTGAGGCAGGTTAAGATTTAAACAAAGTGGGAGATTAACAAAACAAAATCATACTGATTATGTACTGAAAGCATATCACGAGTAGTGCCAGTTCAGACACTGCTTCCAATCCTCACACGATGTTAGCTACGACCCCTTAATTTACAGAGGAAGAAGCAGGCTCAGAGGAATTCAGGGAAAGGTGAAGCTGCAATTCAAATTCATGTCTTTATCCATTACACCACTTCATCTGCCTCACAATTCAAAATGAAGTTCTCATAACCAATTTTACCTATTTTATTTTATTTTATTTTTTGAGACAGAGTCTCCCTCTGTTGCCTAAGCTGGACTGCAATGGCGAGATCTCGACTCACTACAACCTCTGCCTCCTGGGTTCAAGCTATTCTCCTGTCTCAGCCTTCCAGGTAGCTGGGACTACAGATGTGTGCCACCATGCCCGGCTAATTTTTGTGCTTTTTAGTACAGACGGGGTTTCACTGTGTTAGCCAGGATGGTCTCGATCTCCTGACCTCATCATCCACTTGCCTTGGCCTCCCAAAGTGCTGGGATTACAGGTATTAACTACCATGCCCAGCCGGTACCTTTTTTAACTCACTTAGCTGAAACAAAAATAATCTGCAAATTGTATGAACATTCAAATATGAACATTCTAATAGTAACCTCTGATATGACCAATTATGCTTAATTTCACTTCCCTCCACTGTTATACGCCACTTTAATTACATACAGATATGAATATAAACTTCAATTAATATTAATATAAATATACATTTCAGGTGGAAATGACAAGAAATTGCATACAACTTAATTCAACAATGCAAATTTATTATATAAAATTACATTTATCAAAATAACATTCTGGAAACAAAGCTTTACCCTCTAATGGTGCTGATACTGGAGACTCCCTCATTGACATCCCTTGCTTTATATTTCCTTCCACTGATTCATAGCTTCTCTTTAAATTAATTTCATGAGCTGTTCTTGGACTCCTAGTCCCTTCTCGGGCATTCTTAATATCTACAGAATACACAAACAAGATTTGCTCAGACAGAACACAAGGTGTACAATATACAGTAAATAGGTTAATTTCATAGTCTATCTTATAAAAATAATATAAAAACTATAATAAAATCTGTGTAGATGATTCATGAAAATATTTTCATTCATTCACATATGTTTATTGATATCTACTGTGTGCCGGACATAAGCCAGGCTTGCAGATGAGATTTACAAATTAAGCCCCTTTCTGCATGAAACTTACAGACTCTGTAGTGCAGTACTGACTATGTAATGCAGTACAGACTATGTAGTACAGTAAGCTATGAAAGTATAATGTGCTATGAAAATGCTGGGAGAGAAACCTAACACCTTCAGGTTCAGATAAGCCTGCTTAGAGGAAGTAATGTGTAAGCTGAGAATGAAGGATGAATAAGAGTTGTTCAAGTGAAAGGTAAAAGGGGGAAAAAGGACAGGTAGAAGGGAACAGTGAACACAAAGACCCCCTAGGCAAGACAGAGAATGGTACATTAAAAGAACATAAACTCGGTAACTGGCTAATGTGTAGAGTGGAGCTGGGAGAAAGAGCATGGGGGAAGTAAACGTGATGGACTAAGGGGAAAAGAAAGAAGGGAAGAATCTCAAGAGCTAAGCTGGAAGCAGCTCCTGGAGAGGTCATAAAGCTAAGGTAGGGGCTTGCAGTTATCTTAGGGGTGATGGAAAATTCAAGCAAGGAGGGATATGGTACACACTTTGAATATGAGTGAGACTGAAGGTAGGGAGATGAGTTAGGTGGCTGCTGGGTTAAAGGTGATGGTGACAGTGGTGAATACAGAGTATGGATGGATTCTAGACAATTTAGGAAAATGAACGGAAATGACAAAATGATTTGGTGGATGTGGAAAGAAACAAAGGTGTGCAGACTTCTGGTTTGCACAATGTACATTAATTTCTTAACCCGAGAAACAAAATGTTAATCAATATATGCCAGACATGTAAAGGAGAGAGAAATAAGAACGCTACGAAGCATTCTGCAGCATCTGGCACTGTGTACACTCATACTTTATTTTTTTGTATTGGAAGAAAGAAAGCATAGCTAATGACTACTCCAAGGTCACAGAGCCAGGCCCAAATAAGAACTCAAACTCGGTCAAAACTTTGGCTAATATTGCTATCACATTTGAGTCATTCTTATAAGATACTACTACTGAGAAAATATAACTTAAGAATACATCTATAAATATATATATAGATGTTAAAATGGTTTTATTAAAGAGATTTTAAATATTGTTATCAATATTATCA